TCTCTCTATCCGGTGATGTTACATCATGCTTTCTAACTTAACAATCCTTGAAAAATCAGTAATATGCACGTGTATTCGCTGGATGTGTCTATCCTCATAATGTTAATATTGTCTTATTGGAACCATTTATACCCATGTTCATAAGGTTCACTGATAGGCAACGTTAGATGCTAATACCACCCTAGCAGGCGATGCTACGTGATACCCATTTACGCATATATGTACGCACATGTATTTCCAATGTATTTTCTATAAATAATTGGTGAAGTTGATACACAGTGCCGTGCCGTGCACAGTAAACAGGCTCATGTTCATTATCAAAAGTCGTGAAGCGGAATATTAACTATGAAACTCAATAGTATACACTGTGGATGAAATATGCTGATGCGACATAATGCCCTTAAATGCCCATCCCCATCATTTTCATTACTATGCAATTGATACAGAAAAACAAGCAAATGATCCTTTAGTTATGAGTTAATTGTTGAATGTGTTGACCAACATTTCTATAAATGTCACGGGTGATACATGGCAGATCCTGATCGTCGAAGCTGCTCCTTTCTCTGCTTATCTGAAACGAAGCCGCTGACATAACCAGAAATGAATTATTTGCAACATGAGGATAGTCACGGCTTTGTTATATCCAGTGGGGACGCGCCTGGTAGTGCCTTTGGAAACAATAATAAACAGTGTTTAGAAACTACATTGTTTTCAATAGAGAAGGTTAATTGTCATCCGCCATTGGCCTTAGGAATGAAACCATATCAGTAACAGCTAGCATGACAGCACAATAGGTGGACACTACTAAGGAGGCCTACAGTGTAGTTAAGGAGGGAGAGAACGCAGTGTAATCAAGAAAAGCCAATAAGTTGTCATCGTCATTCGAAGGAGCGGTTGAGGTGAAAAAATGAGAAAACTCATTGACATGCGTTGTGTCCTTCTTTGCCAAATTAACATGTTCGATTCAACATTGAGTATTTTGGTAGTGTAGGTGAGGAAAACCGCTATCATGGAAACAGATCTTTTTTGTTCTCGTCTCGCCTAAGAATTGTTAAGTATAATGCTAATTTGTTACAGGACAAGTTGTATTACTTTCTGATATAAACGACTTATGTATCGACACCCATCCACGTAGTTCTTGTATATGCATGTCTATGTAGACGCGTGAAGTATTTGTTTGTTTGCTCGTTTGTTATTTAACGCCGCACTCAGCAATAATCCAGGTATATGACGGAGGTCTAAATAATCGAGTGTTGCCAGACAATCAGGTGATTGACATCATGAGCATCGATGCACGCAATTGGGATACGATGACATGCATCAGCCAAGTCAGCGAGCTTGACCACAAGATCCCGTTAGTCTCTTCTTACAACAAAATCGCCACTTATGACACGCAAAGGTTGCTGTAAACTTATTCTAACCCGGATGTTCCCGAGTGATGCGTGAATTAAGAGTTATTTAGCAGGCAGTTACAGCTGTCTCTACCTTTGGGTCTTTCCGTACTTGATTCTGTGATATGATATCTGGTTTTGTCCATATGTCTACGTAAATCGCCCGTTTTGCGACATTGCACATGGCCTTGTGATATGACATGGCTATATGGATTGAAGTAAAAGTGAGATGTAACAGCTTTACAAGCAAGCGCGAGGTGCTGAGATCGTATCCTGGTAGTGACCAGGTTGTTCTTCACGCTCCTGACCAACAACGTTTACAGGTCTTTTCAGTGTTGTCATTACCCCTAGTGTACAGCACATTCACCCTGTGCACTCAAAGGAACTAATTCATCCAATGGTGCATACATCCGAAACACAAGTGGCAAAAGGTGTGGTGTCACCCTGGGCACGTGACTTAGTTCAAGTATGCCTCTGTTCTGTTAAGCAGGGAATGGGTACGTTGTGCAGCTGTGAGCACGTTATAGAAACACTATTGAGGAGATGATTAAATGTGACCCACCATGAGAAAAGTGACCTTATGGGTGCTAGGATACAGTTGACGTCAACTTACGTCCGTATAAATGACCACGTGTGCGGACTGTACACAAGTATCCTATTTCTCGCTCAACTGTTTATGATGTAACAAAACCCCTTTCAAAACATTTCAGCATACATGTCTACCTTCAATTGACATTATATTTAAAACTACAACCATTACATTATACACACACGTATAGGTCTGAAAAGTGGACTTTGCAGAGAATGAGTCCAAATGTTTGATGCCATACAACTCAGTCATATAAATGAATTGAACCATATGCATTGTAATTTTATGATCTTAAGATACCGTAGATTTAACATATACTGAACAACAAAAGTTCCTGTAACATTGAATAAGATTTAATGCAAAGTTATGTTTTTACCAAAACTGAAACAATTTCGGTTTGCAACAGATAAAAGACTCCTGTAAGTGTTCAAATGGTTTAATTTGCCATACTGACTTCGGAAAATGCGTGATTTCATAACAAAAAAAACATGAACATGCCAAAATGTCAATTTACAAATCAATAGCGTGTGTATCCATCTCTGGTTGCGATGCAAGCAACACATCTTCGTCTCATGGAATGGACCAGGCGTCGCACAAAGTCCTGTGGGATATCTGTCCATATCTGCTGGAGCATGTTCCGAAGTTCCTATAGTGTCTGTAGAACACGTGGTTGACGTCGAAGGCGCCGATCCATCTCATCCCACATGTGCTCGTTTGGTGAGAGATCAGGGGAGCGAACCGGCAAGGGGATGACATTCACCTTATTTTGTTGAAGAGACTCCTGAACAAGTCGAGCAATATGAGGCCGGGCGTTGTCATGTTGAAAGGGTCCTCTGTCTTGCTGTAAACCCACCCAATACCATAACGCTGCCGCCCCCGAACAGACCTTCTTCCATGACACAATGATTGACGTGACGTTCACTTCGACGTCGGTACAATTGAATCCGTCCATCGCTGTGGCTGATGTGAAAACGAGACTCGTCAGTGAATAGAACTTGTCCCCACTGCATGGCCGTCCAGCGTAGACGCTGTCTACACCACTGTAGACGTGCTGGGTCTTCTGGCGACAATCCCTGCACATCTGAGGCGACGACGTACGGTTTGTGAAGATGTTCGTCGAAGGCCAGAGATGCTTCTTGCAGTCACTGTTGCTTGCTGGAATCGATTTCGTAGGTTTGTTGTTCGAATCCAGTTGTCTTGTCGATTATTGGTTACGCGTGGCCTGCCACTTCGAGGATAGTCTCTGACTGCATTCGCCTGTTGCCAACGTTGCCATAAACACCAAATGGTGTTTCTGTGGACGTTAAATTGTCTTGCAACATCACGTTGACTCGATCCTGCTTCAAGCATACCAATGGCTCATTTTCGGACAGACGTGGCATTGCGTAATATTGATTTATTGCGTAATTTTGTTGTTTTTCTGAGTGGTTGTTGTCAGCACGATGCTAAACAATGCATATGGAATCCCGTTAACTCACGTGTTTTTATACCCATTCTTGGGTAGTGAAATGCATCGGGCTTGCATAAAAGTCAACTTTTGCATGAAATGCATGCTTTTCTGTAGCAGTTGCGGTTTTGTGACTTGATTCCATACATGTACTACAATATTGAAAACCAAACTTTACAAAAATACACTAAAATATTGGTGTCACAGGAACTTTTGTTGTTCAGGATATATTAAGAAGTCAAAATGTGATTTTTCACGCAGAAGGTCCCTTTTCTAATGGTTGGTCGCAGAGTCAACAATAACTACATAAACATACATCGACGTTATGCATATGACGTATATGTACGAAATGAATAGGTCCCTTGGAGAAATGCCGGCAACATATACATAAGGTGGCTAGGTGAATTGTGCAGTCAGGCTCGATGACTGGTCAATCTGCGTGCCAACGTACCCCGGCTGTATGGGATGGTGAACATTATATCAATCACTGGTTTGCGATCCAGGTCGTCACCATATTTAGCGCCAATTATAAAAAACTTAATATATAAATTATACATGCACACATTAAAGTGCAATGGGCAAAACGGGCTTTTCAATATGGTTGCAATGTGTAAAATAATGTTTTGGTCGGAATTATGGCTACGACGGACGGCGGACGACGGACGACGGACAACGGACGACGGACGACGGAACATATTTAAGGTACCGATTAGATTCTATTCGGGTCACTTCAGTTACAAAGTTAATAGTCATCATTTGTTTATCATGAGGGACCTACGGCCTATAATATACTGGTAGTTGTTAAATGAATTGATTAATCTCCACAGGGAGCACTGTATGAAAGCACCATGAGGCCACAAATAATCGGCTGATGTTTCGTGATGAGCGCGTCTTGCTACGGCTCATGGTCTCATGAATTTACCAATGCATTTCATTTTTTTGTTTTCATTAATTTTTAATTGCCCAAATCGTTGTCTTTGCACGGTCTGCATTCAAAGACTTTCTAAAACGTCTATGTTTTGAAATACAAATAAGTACGACCATTTTCATCACAAGGTAACATTGTGTTCTTTTAATATCATAGTATGGCATATGCATGACAAGCACTTGCGTGTATCACCCCCCAAAATACTCATTAGGTACTAATACCGGCGACTACTTGCAAATTATTTATATTTGCAACAAAAAAGCAAAACTTCGTTTACACAACTCTGATTACTATGATGTTCCGCTACAGTTTAGATATGTTTGATGACCGCCGTGTATTAAAAGGTGTAAAACGTATTGCATCTTCTGTCAATTTTATAGAAACGTGCATTAAATGGTATCATCCAACGTATTGTAAGGAATCTTCAGTATGTTAATGAAGAGCAAATACATCTTAACACCAAACGATAGCCCATCATGACATTAATAGTTTAACAACGTGTGGACAAATTGCTCCTTAAAAGACACGCATGTGGCTGCCGTCAATTTATCGGACTACTTTACTCTCATTGGTGGCATGAAATGAATCCAAATGCAAACACATTGCTTGTGCTATTGACTAAACATCGAGTGATAGCGGGACGAGAGGTCCGCTCTCACTAAGGCTGTGGCGTCAATACAAGTCCGGTATTGATGCCTTGTATGGATGGAGATGAAACAGTACCATAACTGGGTACCTTTCCCCAACGACTTCACGGGACTATATATAGAGTAACTAACATCGATGCCACCAGTGTTGTTCCCCGAGGGTAAAGGGATGAAAAAGTGGATCCTACGATGTTTCCGGCTGTTTTCTGTAACGTTGGTTTATTAATGAGGAGGTGTGTAGACTTGGATAAGTTCTTAGTTCGCCAAATGGTTAAAGGAAAGAGTTGCTATATGACATCAAATCATGCACAGGTTGTGGTGTGATTAGAAATATCAAAATTGCTGTCATAATTTGAGAGTGACATTACCTCCCGTCATCTATCAATCTTTCACGGGATATAGTTATACGCTGTACTGAGAATTACATCCTTGTGTAGCATATACACACCGTGGGAAAAAATACATAACTTCACCACACTGTAGTAGGTGACTGTCAATGGCTCTTTGTGTCTGAAATACCAGCGCAGCCATCTGTACCTTAAGAAAATCTAGCCTGCCACGCGAGCAGACAGGTTGTGGCCTACTTGAGATCCCACTACCAATCAACTCCGAACACACCCCACCTGTGCCGGTATCTCCGCCAGCACGTCCACATATATGCGCTGTCTCCGAGAGACAATGAAGGTGAGTTTCTTATCATCAACATTCAGAACGATCTGTGTCTTTGTCAAGTAGAGGAACCTGAAATTGTATGTTCATCATGTAGCGTTGTGCAACACACTGTACTTTGACCGTGTGGTTTACGTTCCTGTAGAAAGGTAAAGGGAATGAACAAAGGTAGGTGTAGTCTTTGCTGACTTGTATAAACTATTCGGTCTTTTGTTATGCTTGAAACTTCCACTAAACATTCGAACAAAGTATATATAATACCGAGTACATATTGCTGTATGATCAGCTACGTTCATATCACTTGTGTATGTATGATCTAGATGACTAGTCAGTAGTCCGTGGATGTGAGGCGTTGTTTGTACCACTCAACTTCCTCTTTGTATTGTGGCGGATGGGTCAAACTACATACAACAGGAAAGTATAAATTGCAGCAGTTTAGGGTTAAGCATAGCTTGGACTGATCCACAACAAAGAAGATGATTGAAAGGCTGTGAAATATCATTCAGGCATGACATTGAATGTGGTATGTAGCATTTGTTCTAGAACATACGTGCCATCAAAATACAAGTGACCTGCAACATGCCTCGCGCTTGTAATCAATACTAACAAACAGACTCTATCGACCAACATGAGTCTTACCTCGTAACCGATTGATTGTAGGCATTGTAGAGCAGATTGCATATGTAGTGTCAACACAGATGTACAATGAGAGAGTAGCCAACGGAGAACACGTAGAAGCCTATTTATTGGATATGTTATTAAGTAAAAGCGTAAATAGATTCAGGTAATATCAAAGATCTAATCAAATCGATGTGGGTGAACAGATACAGAACAGGTTTCAAACTTCTTGGTGTGTGTATACAAGGCATAGATGTTTGTTTGCACTTGATGTAAGCAGTTTAGGTATTGATTTAGTTAAACAAAGCGTACGTAAGACTGAAGGTGGATGAAATACAAAGTTTTGAAACAGATAATCAATTATGAATTACAGACAGATATTGAATATTTACCATGTGCATCAACATGCACAGTCGTAATACATTTCAAGTAAATATGAAACACTACTCAAACTTCCATTATAAAAACACAAGCCTGAAGTTATTCTCTAACATTACCAGACTGTATTGCTTTCATGTAAACAGAAATGTTCTACTCACATGGGTTTTAGTTTGCGAGCGGTAGGGTCGTTGGAATACCGTTTTATTATTAAGGTAGGTCTGCCTAGTAATGAGAAATATATTACGATATTGAAGAATTTTAAGATATTTTCCGTTCTCCATCACCAAAACAAGAATTCCAGTGTGTTCGTGAAGGTGCACGTTCATTGTCATTAGCACCTGCTATTAAACGTATCGAGGTGAGAATGTAATTTAAGCAAAATCCTTACTTTAACCTAGGCTAGACTTGAACAAATAAATAATCTAATTACACTCTGATGAATTTTGAAACCAGACCACCAGCTTCCTAATTAAGTTGATGCAGTCCATATGTGTTTGTGTGCTAGACGGCTGAAGGAGATGGGGTTGGGTGAGGTGTGCGGGTGGTGGTGGGAGTCAACCTTATTTGTTGCTTATTGTCTGTTGAAGTACGGCTTATTCAAAACCTGTGGAGGTAAATCATTATTTGTCGAGAACACATTTCCCTGTTACTTACTTCCACATTTACTGACATACATGGTAGTTGGTGAATGTTCGTGTGAAGTAAACCTACGCATCAATAACCGAACATTTAGTGTCCCTTAATACGCCCTATGTATACACTCCCCAAACATATGTTGCTGGCATCACAAACAACCAGTTGTGTTTCGAATCCAGGTGTTTCTCCGTTAGTTTTTTCCGGCATAAATAATCTCTCTGACAGATGTTCATGGCTGATTTCTCGCACTGTTCCAAGAATGTAAACACGTCTAAATGATCCTTGAGAACACCAGGGATACTTTTGACGAAATGTCAGCCTCCTTTGATGTAATTTTGGTCCCGTCTCCATACAGTCTTCCAAGATCAGAGCGTGTCAAGATAACCTAAATACCGTATACCCAAGTTACATGAAGCTTCATAGTTGCATGCAATTGAACTACAAAGCTACATTCGAGACGTAAAGTTCACCGCTCCGTGTTGGTGTGAGCACACGTAGATTGACGGTTGAATCAATGCGCCAATACGCACTTGTATAATCTGGATGTGCGTGTGGCAGGTATACCATATCTGAGAACTGCTGGAAGGTTATTAAGGTTCACAGAACCTGTCACTGAGTCACGAAACCATGCCATCTCTTGACAGTAGCAGTATTAAACATAACAGATCAAAGGTATAGGCCATATATTTACGACATAAAGAGTAATTCAGTATTGTCTGCACCAGAAGTAAGTAAACTACTTGTACATCAGGTTTCCGTCGTTAAGCGAACATACTGTCTTCAGTCATGCAAAGCGAATGTCATTGTGTAGTAAATACAACTCATACAGTTCTTTTGTATGGCGCATAAATATATATGTTTAACTTGCATTTCGACAGACTAACATGTAGTCTATGAGATTTTATATTGCACAATACTCTTTTCTCCTCTAAAATTAAAACAAATGATTTTCCTGATATTGTGAAATAGAGCTAGCATGAGCTAGACTTGCTTTTGTATATATATCTAGATTGGTCTTATTCATAAAAAAAATATATTCCAAAGTCATGATGCAGGAAGGACAAGCATTTCCATTGCAGACAGAAAAAAATAATATTTGATCTATGTGGAACGTAATGTTCGTGGATCTCATTCTCTCGGGTGTATGTGAATTTGTTGAAACCGTTAATGCTTGAAATCAACAGCTAAATCAGAGATTCGTTAATTATGAACGAGTAACGGCAGTCACCACAAGAACATTAGCTGTGGACTTCCTCTTTATAATGGAATAATTATGGCTTAATGTGATCAGCCAAAAACCTTTACAAATTCATATTTGATGGGTTTACAAAATGAGATACCGTTTTGCCTGGTGATAAATATGAAGGCATCTGTTTTATGAATCTCGTTTTGGGACATACTACACGGGACCAAAAACCGGATTTTACACCTATGAAACAAACGCAAATGCAGGCGGAAATGCATGCACTTACAACATTTGCGTATGATATGAACTAACTTTGGGCGGTTATTTCATATAAAGTTTCGCCTTTGAAACACATTATCAGTTATGAGACATATTTACTACCGTATACACAAGGACCATTGTCGAGAAAGCTATGACCGGATTTGCAGAACGTTTGTCATAGGTTCGATAATTTCTAACTTTTTCCAAAACAAATCTTGGGAGAGGAAAAATGTGTAAATGTGTAAATTCACAAGAACGCAATGAGAAAAACTCCATACGTATTCAATAATCAGATACTCCCCGACTGATGATGATCCCACATTGACGTAAGATTATGAAAATCCTTTCATCCCATATTTATAACATAACTATTTATGATGTAAATATTTTCTAATACATTTTGCATATGCGACTTTATTTACTGTGTTCCATCATTTTGGTAATAAAAGGCAGTTTTGCTTCTGTTTAGTCGAATTCTGATAATGGATTTGTACCAGATGTTCATCGTTATTGACACTTAGCTCCCATCTATACGACTTTCTCAAGTAAATCTCAAGTAAATGTAATCCTGAATTGATTATTGGACTCAGCATAATGATTGTAGACCCTCTCCTTTCTGTCTTTATAAGGGTGCGTTTTCCGTACTTTTCATTCGCAGAAGAATGCGTCATGTATCATCGTAGGGAAAGCTATCTGACATATATGTACCTCTTTCTTGACAGCTTATAAAACTTAATCATTCACTCTGTAAAAAATGGGTTTTGTTATGAACATCCATTTGAATATATAGCCTCATGACGCTTGTGATAAAACCCAACGATGTCAAATAATGCAATATTGATATTGTTCAAATCGGGTCGAAGTGTATTATAAACAAAAACAATGTCTCATATATCTAGAGGAAACAGGATTAAAGTGACGAACACATATATTTAACTCGTGGCTTAAAGAATATTATGACTGTCTAGCCATGTTGCGCTCTCGACAAATTTCATCATGAATAAAGACGTTAAAAGATTGTACTTGTTGTTACCCTGTCTGGCGCTCGGCATTAAGGGGCTAAAACAAGGACTGGTCGGCTCGGAGTCAGTATACTGTGTCTGAGTGGGGTATTCATGTTAAACTTCGGCATGGTATCTCAGTGAGCTAGCACTATAAATCGGCACCAGTCCGGACTAGTACAAGCAGCCACACAAACACACGCACGTACATGCACGTCGCTATATAAGTGCAATAATCTTGGACGCGACGTTAAACCCAATTTCACCCCACCACCTCATCATGAATAAAAGTCTCATTTTGTGTAAATACATAGTGAGCGAGACGACTGGTTACAGAGATACAAGTATGAATGTGCCTAATGCATTGACGAAGGTTCATTTCGTGTTAAGGGCATATCTAGTATTGCTAAAAGTACTTAACAGCAATGTCAGACATTGATATTCATTTCATTACAGGTCAATTAAATCAAGCATAAGTCACGAGTGAAATGTTGATCGTTGTGTGATACCATGTAATTCTTTGAGTGACCAGACACATATTCCTATTTTGATAATATCGTCCAATCCAAACACTTTTAGATATTACGTTCTTAATTCTCTGAAAATTGTATCATATTGCTTTGAAACATGGACGCCCTTGGTGTTGATGTTGTAACATTGCAGAGCAAGGTACACAAGGCAAATTCTTGGCATGTTTTTATCATGAAATATTTAACAATATTTAACATTCGTACTCTAAATAATTCTAAACAAGTGAAGGATACAAACATATTTAGGGATCGAAACGCGTTCAAATTCATAAACGTGTAACCCCTCGTCATGTGTTACGAATTACCTAATTAGATCCTTGACGATGCCGCAAGACAATAACGAGTTCACGCTGGTATATTACTGAACCATTCAAATATATGCCAATGTTTATCCATATCGTA